GGTGCAGCTGTGGTCGGGACAATTATTACATTAACTGATGGGCCTGTAAATAAATAGTTTATAAATAAGGTAGAAATAAGTTCCTCACGCTGATAACTAATCTCTCTGAGGACACAGTGCTACAGCACCTTGACACGACTCAATAAATGTTATGTAACATTTTGTGAACATCAGTTTATTTGCATTTATTTGTTATAAATGCCACTCTATAATTCTTGCTGTCAGTATTTGCAAGATATTGGTATTTGGGTCTGTACTGGTTAGACTTACATGAGTTAAACCAAGGTCTATAGCCCTTGGGTCATAGACTATGAGCTATAAGTATATTGGTCCTTTTATCCTGGGAATCAGGAGTTCTTTTAGTGATCATCTTGTTTCTTATTTTTGTCCTGATTGTGCCCTGAGCAGTTTTATGACTGAATAAAAACAAATAAAATCAACATAAATTGAAAAATCGTCCTAAATAATCGTGATCTCAATTTCAGTCACCATAATCGTGATTATTATTTTTGCCATAATCGAGCAGCCCTACATTATTGTGTGTGTGTGTGTGTGTTCTGTCTTCTCGATCGCCAGTGAGTCGTGGAGGATGACTGCTTATACTGAGCCAGGATTCTCTGGAGGTTTCTTCCTGTTAAAAGGGAGTTTTCCTCTCCACTGTCGCTGCATGCTTGCTTAGTATGAGGATTGCTGTATAGTCACTGACACTCGTCAGTGACTTGATGCAATTTGCTGGGTTCCTTATATAGGAAACATTATTTCTGATTGGCTTAATGAACTGTGAATTGGAATGTTTCTTATGTGAAGTGCCTTGAGACGACTCTTGTCGTGATTTAGCGCTATATAAATAAACTTGAATTAAATTGAAGTGATTTTGCTAACATGAAGACCCGTCAGTGGGCATTTACTGGAAAATAAATTCCAGGATTTTTGTTTGAACACATTGTTGGCAAATAAAAATAATTATATGAGAAGTCTGGGCATTTCACTTTTATTATGCTGGCATTTGTATTTGCTCAATATAGAGGTTAAACTAAGATCATATTTATTATCTTGTCTTATAGCATGACAAAAAATGTGTAAGAGAGATATTAAGTAATTGAGCATGGGGGCCCACCTAGAAGACTTGTACCTAGGGCCCAGAATTTGGTGCTACGCCCCTGGTCCCAGTAACGGAGTAGAGCTAACCGCTTTTTCCTCCAGAGTCACATTCAGATTCGGGGCTTTTCCGTCGGAGTGTGAGCAGGATGGATCAGAGAGCGAGCAGCGATCCTGCATCATGACCAGCTCAGATGAGCGAGTCTGATAGAGCGAACCTCTTCAATCTGATGAAAGCAGCTAAACGAGCGCGTTTGTCAGAGAGGCCAAAGGAACAGCAGCAGAGCCAGAGGGCAGGAAGTCTAGAGAAAAGCTTTTCTGACCCATTACCTGCTTCTGGAGCTCCGATTGCCACGAAGACCGCAGAATATCTTCTCTGGTTCTGGAAAGAAGTCCACCAAGTTGTTGAGGAGAAGAAGAAAGTTTCCACAGCCTGGTGAGAAGATTTCTGCAGCAGCAGCAGCAGTTAGTCGCTTTAGCTGATCAACTCTCCCAGAGACTCAAATATTCATTCCCCTCACACACCAGAACAAGCTAGCGCTGCTAGCAGCTTCCGGGTTTCTTCTTCTTCTGTACAACCAACGTAAAGGTGCACTGCTGCCACCTAGTGGACACGACTCTGAATGAACCGCAAGAACCTGTGTGTTCCGTGTGTGACTAATAAAGCACACATACTAGTGACATAACCAGGCCAGACTTCTTCATGCAGGTCAATCTGACACTGATGTTGATATGAAGTCTATGAACTTGAGCCAATACTCCTAATTTATCCTGTGGTGTGCCAGAACAGCATCAAGGCTGCAGGAGACGCAGGACTCTTATGTATCCTCTCTGAATAAAGTCTATCCTCCCTGGCTCATATAATAACTATTATTATTGTTGCTGCCCCTTGGCATGAGAGGGTGCTCGCTGCAGAACTACAAAGGCGGAGCTGCACCAGAGTCAGTCCCGCCCATTCACGCAAACTCAGCCTAGCCCACTGACTTCTTCTGTTATTGTTTTTCAACTTTATCGCAAACTAACCTGACCCACATGAATTACAGCTGTTACTAGTTTACAATTGTTAATGCTATGCTCTTTGCTCCAATTAAACAAGAAAATTATAACTTGCTACATGACAAAGCCTGAATATATCCCAAAATGAAAAAGTTTCTTGTAGCGAATATTCCATTTCCATTCCATTCCATGTATTTGATAAAGCACATTTAAAAACAGCATGTGATCTCACTAAAGTGCTGTACGGGGGTAAAAACATATAAGGTTAAACGAATAATATAAAAGAATAAAACAGCTAGAGCATAGCACAAAGAACCAAACAAGAGAAGTCAATAAAATCGGTAAAAGAACAGTGTAAATAAACCATTGATAAAATAGCTAGGCAGTAAAAACAAGTGAATAAAATTAAGTCTTTAAGTGAGACTTAAAAACCCCAATGGAGAAGGAGAGTCTGATATTCAGCGGGAGATCATTCCAGAGTTTCGGAGCGCAGACAGAAAAAGCTCCTTCACCACGGGTTTTGCAGCGTAGACGGGGAATCTGTAGTAGGTGTAGGTCACCTGAACGGAGAGTCCTGCCCGGCACATAAGGAGTAACTCGGATATGTAAGGTGGTGCTAAGCCATTCAGCGCCTTAAAAACAAACAATAACATTTTAAAACGTATACGGTAGTGCACAGGAAGCCAGTGAAGTCTTGCTAAAATTGGAGTGATGTGCTGCCGACGGCGAGTATTAGTCAGAAACCTTGCTGTCGCATTTTGTATCAGCTGAAGGCGAGATCATGCGGTTTTGAAATGCCAAACAGAATTGCATTGGAGTAATCCAACCTTGTGGTAATGAAAGCGTGAATGGTTGTCTCGAGGTGGCGCCGATTCAGAATGGGTTTTAGTTTGGAAAGACGTCTCAGCTGATAAAATCATGATTTAACCATGTGATTTATTTGAGGGTCCATTTTTAGAGCCACATCCATTTTAATTCCAAGAGACCCCAAAATTGTTCAGATGGGGCAACATTTAATTATAAACAGCCTTTTCCAACACTTTTGACAAGAAGGGGAGCTGTGAAATGGGGCAAAAGTTCCCGAGGACAGTTGGGTCTAGGCCAGATTTTTTCAGTAGTGGTTGAAGCATGGCATGTTTAAAAAAAGAGGGTGTAATTCCCGAAACAAGGCTGGAGTTAATAATGTTGAGCACTGTGACGGACACCGTCACCTTTTGGCCACAAGAGGCCCTCTGTCCTCTGCCTGCACAGCTGCAGGCTGTTAGTTCAATTATGCCTCCCTGTTAAAAGGGAATGCTTCCTGTCATTCTGGGAGAGATTTTCAGATGGGTGTTGACACGGAGGTGTTTGCTCTCCTCTCTAGCTCTCCTCGCATTACAGACGTTAAAGTCTCCGTTTTGTTACCTAAGTGTTTGTTTCATTCCAGTACAACATCTTCTTTACTCCCTTAACCACATCGTGCTCCTAGCGAAGCTGAGGGATATAAAAAGCACATAAGGGGCTACCACTGGAAGAACCTCCCGGAAGAGTCTGGCTGGTACAATGTCATCAGGACATCCTGATGGCTTCATGGAAAATATTAATCTCTCCAAGGCAGGCAGTGTGATTGGCTCAAAATGGTCAAAGCATCCGGTACAAACAGATACGGGCAGCAGAACATCTCCGGGGGAAATGATTAGACTCCTAATATTGGAGACTTTGTCTAGGAAAAAACTTAAAAATTGGGAGCAGAGATCATCTGTGACTGCAACCGTAGGAGAGTAATCAGTTGACAAAACTGCATATCTGCCCACAGCCGCTCCAACAGAACCTGCGCACAACACCATTAAAGGCATTAAAGGCTATTGAATGGTTTCTGGTAGTCCAATGGTACGATCGTCTGATTTAAGTTTTGCTTTCCCCTCTGCTGATGCTGGTTCGACTCTCGGTGGGGTCGGCAGCAATCTATGTAGCCAATTGAAACATTTAATTTGCTTATATTTTAGTTGTAATGTTTATTTTCAGCAAAATATTTGTGTCTCTAAAAGTTCTTTAAATTTGGTCGTTCCTAAACAGCATTTTAGTTGAAACGCTGCTCACAAATGGACTCACACTGGCTAAATAAACAAATTAATAAAAAAAACACACAGTCATTATATTGTAAACGGTATACCAATACATTGTTGTAAACATAGTACTGGCAAGTGTAGCTAGAAAAGAAGAAAAAGGGTTTTAAACTACCGGATACTTCCGCTAATGGGAGGCGAACCTGCGCTAAACTGCATGCCAAACAGACTCCATAACCACTTCACCACTATACCTAATAAAAAGCTGGTGGTGTTACATGTAATTGTCCCATCCAGTGTGTCTTTGTAGATGGGGTGCATGGTTTCTCCGCCGGTGTCTCAGTAGAAGTCATTTCAGAAATAATTTGTCAGAAAATTCACAGAATATCCAGATTTGAGAACAAAGACCAGACCCGCTTCGGGGGAGAGGACCAAATTGAAGCTGAGATGGGAGGAAAATGCATGAATGAGGCCAAAAATGGCTTTGGCGTGTTTCTTATGAGGAAATTCCAATATAACATGGTAAAAAGTTCCAAAAGTTAGATTTTTAATTATATGGAACCTTTAATAAAACTGTTCAATTAACTTCTCACCTCCGTCCTCAATCTTGCATTTTAGATGATATTAGCTACAACACCCTCTTTGGTTCCAGAATGCTATCAAGTCCGACAACTGGAAGGAATTGGACTGACTCTGATGGAATGGGCGGGGCTGACTCTGATGGAATGGGCGGGGCTGACTGATGGAATGGGCGGGGCTGACTCTGGTGCACCTCCACCTTCTGGTGCAACTCCGCCTTTGTGGTTCTGCAGCGAGCACCACTTGGCTTGGCATCCAAGAGAAATAAGGAGGAGAGCTTCGACAGGTGTAACTTTTTATTTGCGTCAGGCTGTAGATGCACACACCTCATTCCCAGAATCGCACCGAGCACCTGGTGCCGGTCACTGTGCAAACACCGTGAAAACTGAAAATACATCATTTACAAACAAATTAAAGACAATCGCTGACAATCAGGAGCAACAAACAGAAACAAAGAACAAATACCTTGCTCCTCTTGCCATGGGGTGCAATCAAAGTAATGGCACGTAGAGGCTTGGCACAGCAAGACCATAGACTTAATGTACAAGCATTTGTTAGGGCGACACGTTCTTATTTAATCAATTTTAGTCAAAATACCCGCACTTACGTGGAAGTTTGGTCTGCTGCAACACGCCAAGCCAGGTGGAATGCCAACGCCACGTCCACATCCGGGTTAACGCCCACTTATATGCAATTGAATGAGTGACGTTGACAATCCACCTGCTCGCAGCCATTTACACTCCCACCAAATCATGATTTATGCAAAAAATACTTCACGTGATTTTAAAGTAGACAAATGGCAGTTAACAGTACTGTATTTTACTTCCTAATTAAAAACAAAGAGCAAAAACTTAACTCTCAACTAACACAACCAGTTTTTGTACAGGATGTTCAAGAACGGACACGGTTCTGTCTATCATTCAGACCTCTGTTTCCCATCTGAACCTTAACTCTTCGGACTATTCCGTCTTTTCCCTCTGCAGTGCCAATCACACGACCCAGTTGCCACTGACATCTTGGAAGTACATCATCTTTAACAAGGACTATGTCATTCACCTTTACATTGCGGCGCAGTTTGTGCCATTTTTGTCTGAGAGAGGTTACTGAGATATTCTCTTTTCCATCTGCTCCAGAATTGTTCTACAAGAAACTGTACTCCACGCCACCTTTGAAGTGCATACACGTCTTCTTTGAAAAAAGTTCCAGGTGGTGGTAAAGCGATTTTAGACTTCATAAGGATAAGACGATAAGGAGTGAGTGGTTCAGGTACGTTAGGTTCGTTAATGTTGTAAACAGTTAAGGGACGACTATTAACAATAGCCATAGCCTCATAAAACAAAGTCCTGCAATGTTGTATCTTCTTTCTGATCAGATGTTGAATAGATGGGAAAGGTCAGGCTGTACCTAAACTGACCATTGCTGGGCGCTACACCTGCTCCAATACTCCTGCCAACTCTTGTAACTCCTGCTTTTATAGCAAGTCTCAAATTGAACAGAAAATGTTGCACTTCTACATAATAAAAAGAAAGAGCAAAGCCCTGTAGGAAGCAGCCATTTGTGATTTGCATCGTAAGTCATCAGCATTTTTTTAAATCTTAAATTTTTTTTTTGTATTTTTAGCTGCCATCTCTTGCTTCTTTCATTATTTTCTTTTATTATTTTTTTTTCTTAAAATGTCTGTTTGAAAAAACTCACCTTTCCATTTTTTATTTATTTATTTATTTTTTTTAGTTGTGATTTTTACTCGTTTTAGCAGATGACCTGCTGGGCCGGTAGATTCTCAGCGGGGCCGGTAACTTTTCTGACCCATCGGCCCGGCTGGCCAGTTGGTTGTGCAGTTCATTCCCACGCCTGAATAGGCACCTCTGTTCCCAAAATGCCCCACACTCAGGACCCAATCCCCACGGCCCCGCCCAGATCCCTACACGGGGTCGCCCCCACCCAGACTCACTCAGGAGCAATGCAGCCACCAGGCAGCAACCCACGGCCACCCCCAAGATGCCACAAGGGGCCCCACTCACAACCGCTAGTAGTCCACCCCCTGAGGCAACCCAAGCACCTCCAGAGCAGGGCAGCAGCCCCCCAGCCCCAGACCCACTCCAAACTCAAACCCCCCACCCTATCACCCACATTATCCCGCAGGACAATATCAATGACCCCCCATCACTGCTATGTGATCAAAAGAGCCCAGAGAGATTGATTTGAGGTGGAAGCAGAGGCTATATCAAGTGTAATGTGATCTAACAAAATATTTCTATACTGGTTAATGCAAAGAGTATCTCTATTTTTCCAGTTCGTGAGGATAGTTTTCTTTAACTTTGATGAACTGTTCCCTTCAGACGGGGGTCTTTCCTGCTGCTTTTAAACGGGCGGTGGTCAGACCCCTGTTGAAGAAGAGCAATTTAGATTTTAATGACTTTAACAATTTCCGACCGGTATCCAACTTACCATTTTTAAGCAAAATTTTAGAGAAGCTTGTTTTAATACAACTTAATGATTTTATCAACCACCAACATGTCCTAGAGAAATTTCAGTCTGGTTTTAGGGTGAACCACAGCACTGAGACGGCCCTTCTGAAGATTTTAAATGATTTTAGAACAAATTATGATGCTCGGAGGGCAACAATGTTGGTTCTGCTGGATCTAAGCGCTGCCTTTGATACAGTAGACCACACTATTCTTTTAACCCGTTTAAAACAGATCGGCCTCTCTGGTGTTGTTCACAGTTGGTTTACTTCCTACCTCACAGACAGGACTTTTATGGTGAGTCTGGATACCTGTTCCTCTGGGGTCCACAGCATCACATGCGGGGTGCCTCAGGGATCAATTCTAGGCCCAGTACTTTTTAACCTCTATATGCTCCCTCTGGGCAGCGTCATCAGGAGACATGGGGTGAATTTCCACAGTTACGCTGATGATACACAGTTGTACATCTCCGTGTCTCCTGATGACTCTCAGCCAATGGAAACACTTTTTAATTGCATTTTAGATATTAAATCATGGATGACTGAAAACTTTCTCCAGCTCAACCAGGGCAAAACTGAAGTTTTAGTCATCGGTCCTGAGACCCAGAGAGAGAAACTTTTACCTAAACTACAATCAGTGTCTTTTTATCCATCACTGCAAGTGAAGAATCTGGGCGTTATTTTCGATTCTGAGCTGACTTTTATCCCCCACATTAAAAACATCACAAAAATAGGTTTTTACCATCTTAAGAATATCGCCAGAGTCCGACCCATTCTCTCTTGGGCCAATACGGAGACGCTAGTGCATGCTTTTGTAACCAGTAGAATTGATTACTGCAATGCCCTGCTTTCTGGTCTTCCCAAAAAGAGCATCTCAGGTTTACAACTTTTACAAAACTCAGCAGCACGTGTCCTGATGAAGACCAGGAAGCGGGAGCACATCACTCCGGTTTTAAAATCACTGCACTGGCTCCCCGTATGTTTCAGGATTGATTTTAAGGTTCTTTTAATGGTTTTTAAGTGTCTTAATGGTCTTGGGCCTTCTTATCTTTCAGAACTGCTTTTACTGTATAAACCCTCGCGGTCTCTGCGCTCCTCTGGCAGCCGTCTCCTAGTTATCCCTAAAGTTAAGACTCACACCCACGGCGAGGCGTCCTTCAAGTATTACGGCCCTCGCCTTTGGAACGGGCTGCCGGAGGACCTCAGGTCCGAAGGGAACATCCAGGCTTTTAAGAATAGGCTCAAGACCCATCTTTTTAGCTTAGCTTTTAACTGATTACTATTTATCTATAAATACATATTTATCTCTTTTATTATTTTTATCATTTTATATACATCTTAGTGTTTTTATATGATTATGTTTTCTTTTACTATCTTTATAATCACTTTTTATCAGTTACTTTTTATCATTATTAGCTTTTATTATTTTATATGTTATATATCTTAAATCCTCCAGTGTTTCCTCTGCGGAGCCCTCTGCCTTGGGGCCGGTGGTCAGGGGCGGCGGCGGCCGGGGCGCTCCCCAGGTAGTGCCCGGGCACTGGTGGGGGTTTCTGCCCTACGCCACTGGGCGTCATGGGCCGGTGTCTTGGCTGCTGCCGTGGATCTGTTGCTGCCAAGGCAGATGGCTCCGCTGATGATGTGTCGTTCATTACCTGACCCATCTGAACTCAGCCTATTGTTTCCTCTGGTGTTCACGAGTGTGTGTGTGTGTGTGTGTGCGGGTGATTGTATGTCCACTTTGGAAGTTGGGTGCGGGAGGGGAACTGTAATTTTTAATTGTTTTATACTTGGGGAGGGGGGCTGGGATGGGAATGTGGGATCTATGGGGCCATTTTAATCTGTAAAGCACTTTGAGTTGCATTTTTTGTATGAAAAGTGCTATATAAATAAAGTTGATTTGATTTGATTTGACTTAGCGATGGATATGGCAGTCAGAACCACGTGAACCAAAGATGTTTCAATCGGGACATCGTCCAGGTTTCCCAGTAAACAAAGAGAGGGGGAAGTTGGGATATGACATTTCAGACACTTTGACAGGTCTTCACATACTCTACCTCGAAATTCCTGGACAGGTGGACAGGACCACAGTGCGTGGATGTAATTGTCAGGAATGTTGTGTGTGCAGTGTGTACAGGTGTCAGACGACACAAACCCCATCCTGAACATCCGATGACCTGTATAGTGTACTCTGTGCAGAATTTTGAATTGAATTAATTGTAAATTGGGGTGTCTGATCATTTTAAAAGTTTTTAAACAAGTTTGGGTCCAGAAGTTCTGGTCAAAGCTGACAGATAGACCCACCTCCCATTTTTCAATAGGGATTGCTATTCTATCATCTATTTTGGACAGTGTCTTATAAATTTTGGACTGTAGTTTGGGGTGTTTGAGATTACAGAAGTCTAGTACCCTTGGTGGTGTTTGTAATTCTACTTTATTACACTTAAACTTTTGTTTAACTATTGATTTGATTTGGTGATATTCTAAAAAGCTATTCTTATCTATTCCACATTGGGAGACTATTCTATTAAATGGGATGAAGCCCAATCCTTTATTTAAGTGTTCCAGGTATAGGATTCCTTTACTTTTCCAGTGTGTCTGGACACACAACCATTTCTAGGGTTTACAAAGAATGATGTGAAAAGGGATAAACATCCAGTATGCGGCAGTCCTGTGGGCGAATATGCCTTGTTGATGCTAGAGGTCAGAGGAGAATGAGCAGTTTCAAGCTGAATGTTTACATTCTAACCCTCCCACTGTCCTAATGGGTGACCCCGCGAGGAAAGGTGACCATTGAGCAGGGTTGATGTTTTACCCCTTAAGGTCCACGTGGCAGGGGTGAGGTGGTGCTCACTCCTCACCCCTGCCACAAGGACCTCAAGGGACAGTGGGAGTGTTACATAAGATGCAAAAAAATGCTAAAATAATGACCTCACCTGTCTACAGCATTTTTAGTCACGTACTTACACTGTTTATCAGTAAAAGTGCACTTTAAATTTATTTGTAATGTCCTTTGTGGACTCTCATGTGACTGTTTAAATTTTTCTTATGGCTAAATCTTTGTCCACATAACTCACAGGCAAAGAGTTTCTGTCCTGTGTGGACTCTCATGTGAGTGTTCAAATTTGTCCTTCGATTAAAGCTTTTTCCACAGCGTTCACACACAAACGGTTTCTGTCCTGTGTGGACTCTCATGTGAGAGTTCAAATTTGTCTTTAGAGTAAAGCTTTTTCCACAGATTTCACACACAAATGGTTTCTGTCCTGTGTGGATTCTCATGTGACTGTTTAATGTTGATTTTTGACTAAATCTTTGTTCACAGAGCTCACACGCATAGGGTTTTTGTCCTGTGTGGATTCTCATGTGAGTGTCTAATGTTTGCTTAAAACTAAATCTTTGTCCACATAGCTCACACACAAAGGGTTTTTGTCCTGTGTGGACTCTCATGTGAGTGTTCAAATTTCCCTTTAGAGTAAAGCTTTTCCCACAGAGTTCACACGCAAACGGTCTCTGTCCTGTGTGGACTCTCATGTGAGTGTTCAATGTTGATTTTTGACTAAATCTTTGTTCACAGAGCTCACACGCAAACAGTTTCTGTCCTGTGTGGACTCTCATGTGACGGTTTAATGTGAATTTACGACTAAATCTTTGTTCACAGAGCTCACACTCAAACAGTTTCTGTCCTGTGTGGACTCTCATGTGACGGTTTAATGTGAATTTACGTCTAAATCTTTGTTCACAGAGCTCACAGGCAAAGGGTTTCTCTCTTGTGTGGACTCTCATGTGTCTGTTTAAACATTTATTATGAATGTGACAAATGTCACAACTAAATGTTTTTGGTTCATTCTGGACTTTCCTGCAAAAGTCTACATGTTGCTTTACTCTAACATTTTTCTTATTAACCACACATCCTGAAGATCTTATTGCTGAATGGCTCGTCACTCTTTCATGTCTCTGGAGAGACCACTTGTGGAGAAACTCTTTACCACACTCAAGGCAGCAAAAGGATTTGTTGACAGTCTTAATATCTGACTCAGAAGACCTGCTCTCATTGCAGTCAGTGTCTCCATCTCCAGTTTCAGAACTAGAGTCTAATAGCTCAACATTTAGATTCACATCATCTCCACTAACTTCAGTCTCTGAAGAATCAGATATCTGTTCATCGGGGTTCAGAACTGGGTTCCTGCTAGATTCTGCTTCTCTGCCAGTTTCTGCTGTTGTCTGGTCAGCTGAGCTGTTGGTTGGAACATCTCTGTCCTCTATTTGCTGCTGATAAAGAAGATGTAAGACCAGAGGTTTGTCTTCATCATCCTCACTTTTTATAGAACCTGATATGAATGGAAACCTGGCAGAATTAGTCTCCTTCTTCAAAAGGAGCTGCTCTCCTTCCAGACTGGTCCAGAGTTCCTCCTGTTCCTCCTTTATGTGGAACTGTTCTGGGTGCTGCACACCAGCATTCTGATCTTCAGAAGCTTCTTCTTTAACCATCTGGAGAACATCTATGGGAAACAGGAACACATTATGTGAATTAACCACTGTAACTTTATTTTCACACATATATCAACAAACAGTTCAATTACTGGTTTAAGTTGGTGAGATCAGAACTAACTCGGAGAACATGAATTAACTTTTGCATTGAGTTACTTTTTTTTATCTGAGGTGAATGTATAAATATAAAAAAAAAGTAGAATTACTAGAATTGATCAAATTTTTCGGTTTTGGTGGCCTTGTCTTGACAACCTCAAACTCTGGTAAAAGGCCTGTATTTATAAAATGCCTTCTAGGTTCTACAATATTTAGTTGGGCCTTTTTGGCCTGGATGACAGCAGCAATGTAGCGTGGCATGGAGTCTATCAGTCTGTGGTGCTGCTCAGGTGTTATGAGAGCCCATGCTGGTCTGTTAGTGACCTTCAGCTCAGTGCGGAGAGGTAGGGAAACCCATTTCAAACATGGAAACGAGTCCGGCTACTGAACCGAGTAGAATTCTGATGACATCACATCGGTGCGCGAAGGTGCGGGTTCCAACCCAAAGGAGGAGAGGGAGAGAGGAGGTAAACAGCGAGTGGATCACAGGGACTGAACTGATGTTTTTGAGCAAAATTGCGGTAAAAATGGCTGTTTGTCCTCATTATGAAGTGTCCCCCCCCCCCCCCCCCACGGTTTAGACTAGGGCCCGACCGATATATCGGCCGGCCGATATTATCGGCCGATATAGGGGTCATTAACTCTATCGGCTATCGGCCAAAAAGACGGCTGATATGGCCGATATAGCGCTACCTATCCAGCAGATGGCGCCAGCTTTATGAACTCATGTTGTGGGCTCCACGGAGCAGCAGAGTCAAGCAGAGACGAGATGGTGATGAGGAAGTAGAAGGTAAGTCTTCAGTTTTAAGCATATTTGTTGTGTCAGTGGTAAGTTGAACGGTAAAATAAGCAATGACAAAAGTATGTTTCCCCTCAACATGCTTCCTAAGTTTATTGTGTGCCTCGTGGGCTCGTATTGAAAAGTTAACCTGAAAAATAAAAACTGCCGCAGCATTACGCTCTATGCAGAGCTCACGCTGCTTCCCCTTTAGTCATGCAGGGCAGTAAGTAAGTAACATTGGCCTTTTTCTGGTAGACATTCTGGAATATTCTCAGACAATTTCCTCCGCTCTTCTTCAGCAGTCTTTTCAAACTCACGCGGTTCACCCGCGGCTCGTGAAAAAAATAGTGCAGACACCGAAACTATCGCTGCATGGCGCGGGCTGGAGAATAGGGTAACAAGGGCGACGAATGAAGGCGGTCCCCGTTTCGCGGCGCTTCGGCGGCACACGACCGTTGTCGCAGCTGAGGACGGGCGAGGGGGGGTTGGCAACAAAGCAATGAAACGCTGGACTCCCCCCTCCTCTCCCTAGCTGGGAGAGGAGGGGGGGCGGTAATACGAGAAAATAAACATTCCTCTCTACAACAGAATAAATCTATTGTATTTTTCAGCCTTATATTTTACATAAGGCTTATACATTGCCACATACTAGTCATTTAACATATCTTATTTTTATTTTCCTAATACTGTCGGCTTTGGAAAGGATCAAAACACAAAAGTGTAAAACTCAAAAGTATTTTAATGCCAAAAATCAGGTAGCTAGGACGCTGAAACCAGCAGAGTATGACTGAAACTGAACCGTATGCACTGAGGAGTGAGAGATGACGGAGGACTAGTTATGAGGAGGAGCTGTGAGTGGGAGCAGAGTACAGCAGGGGAACATGGGAGGAACTATAAATGAAAATATTTTTAAAGAAGAAAGAATCCTAAAAGGGAAAGAAGAATAACTACAAAAAAAAAACCTGACAACAAACGGAGTAGAAAATTCAGTGAAAGGAAAAAAAAGACTTGAATACTAAATGAGAAAACCTGAACAGCTGGAGAACCAAACAAAAACAGAGCCATTGGTTTTGAGCCACAATGTCTGATATCATTTATTTACATGATAATTTTTAAACTTTTAAGTATAAAAAAGCCACATTTAATGTATTTTACTTTGTCTTAGTATCAACAGATATATAACTGTACTTTTATGCTGATTATTTTATTACAGATGGAAAAAGAGGGTCGTAGTAAGGTGTGGGCCTACTTCACTAAAGATCCATCCGGTGATGTCATCTGCAGCATCTGCTCATCTTCAGTAGTAGTTTGTGTGTTCTGTTGTTTTTGAGATTGCAAAATAAATCTTATTTGCATTACTTGGAAACCCTAGTGAGTTATTGAGACAGTTCTTTGGTGTGTAATATAGAAATAAGTTAGCATCAAAAAGGCAGAGAATGAAGGGTTTAATCTTAAGAACATTTGTATTTATTTTTTTGTGAGGGAGATTTATCGGACATTTATCGGCTATCGGCCTTTGTTAAAAGTTTTATATCGGTATCGGTCCCAAAAAAAGCATATCGGTCGGGCCCTAGTTTAGACACGGCGCTCATGCAGGTGTCTCTTTCTGTTCCAACGCTGCTGCACGCAGTATTTTTAATTTACTGAGCCAACAATTTATTTTTCCTCAGTAACAGATATGATTTAAAATGTAGCGACTTACAATTCTTTTAACAAAACTTAAGTAAAAGTAAAAGTACAGCTTTAAAAAATGACTTAAAAGTATAAATATACAAAAAAAGCTACTCAATTACAGTAACGTGAGTAAATATAATTCGTTACTTTCCACCTCTGGATCCCGGTGTTAGTGCGCAAAACTAATGTGATCTCGGAGAAAGTCAGTGCTCGGTATGGGCAAGTTTAAGCCCAAAAATTGGATTCACTGAGGGACTGGAACAATCAGTTAAAGACTGAAAGGCAGAGAGAAAATTATCTCTGCCTGACCCCAACAATTCTTTCAATCTGAATCTGGTGCCCTGGTAACCTTAAACTGCGAGAAGTTAAATCCCCCACGAAGGAATGCAGACAGATGCTGTGAAAACCTGACCATGGATTGGTGGACTTATCCTGGCGAGGACATCAACTGAAGGAGTCAATGTACTCTTCACTCTCCCTCGATCTCCCCCCACCTGTGATCCAACAGTGAACGAGTGCCTCTGAAGATGGTTGCTCTCTCTGGTGGAGAACAGGGTCCCAGACCCCCTGCCATCCCATAGGGCTTTGGAACCAACGTCATTGAGCAATGCATTGTGGTTTTGCTGCGCCATCTTTATTGCCCACAAACCAAAACAAACGAGAGAAGTGGTAGAGAAGAAGGTAACCAATCATGCTTAAAATCAGCTCCAAAGAGAAAGGAATATATCGAGACAAATTGCGTCCGGATGACAAAAAAAGACACAGAAGATCGAGTGTCTTGGAAATGTGGACCCGTATGAGCTACGGCAATGGCAAAGAGACCCAGACGATCTACCCCCTTTGTCCTTCCCAGATATATTTTCGTATGTGGTCTGTGGAATCGGTGCCTACACCGCAAAACAGTTTCAGAATTACAAGTCTTTAGAGGCGCACATTCAGTTCACCAATGGCTGGGTTCACGATTTGGATATTTTTAAGCCTCGTCATTGCGAATATGTGATCATTCATGCAAAGGTAAGTCACTTTTACCACTTTTACTACAACTTCATTAGTAACGATCAATCAAAATTCTGATAACTTTGCGAATCCAACTCACTCTGAAACAAGTTGCTACTTTGTAGCTGATTTGTGTTCTGTGATAATAAAATATAAATCTGAATTTAGTTTCATGCACTTATTGATGGATTTCAGAAACCCCTAACCACATTATATATTCATAGCTCACTTAAAGCTGAAATTTAAATAGAACTAGATGCTTATTTTCTATTGAAAGTTATGACATCCTTACATTATGCCAGTCCAATATTCCCCCCAGTATAAACGCCAATTTTCTAAACACATCCATTGTTACATAAATAAAAGACTAAAAAATAGCATACATTTGTGTTGCCCTGGCCTTATTCAAGTTAATGCCATGACATTTACAGTGGGGCAAAAAAGTATTTAGTCAGCCACCGATTGTGCAAGTTCTCCCACTTAAAATGATGACAGAGGTCAGTAATTTACATCATAGGTACACTTCAACTGTGAGAGACAGAATGTGAAAAAAAAATCCATGAATTCACATGGCAGGATTTTTAAAGAATTTATTTGTAAATCAGGGTGGAAAGTAAGTATTTGGTCAATAACAAAAATTCAACTCAATACTTTGTAACATAACCTTTGTTGGCAATAACAGAGGTCAAACGATTACTATAGGTCTTTACCAGGTTTGCACACACAGTAGCTGGTATTTTGGCCCATTCCTCCATGCAGATCTTCTCGAGAGCAGTGATGTTTTGGGGCTGTCGCCGAGCAACATGGACTTTCAACTCCCTCCACAGATTTTCTATGGGGTTGAGGTCTGGAGACTGGCTAGGCCACTCCAGGACTTTCAAATGCTTCTTACGGAGCCACTCCTTTGTTGCCCGGGCGGTGTGTTTGGGATCATTGTCGTGTTGGAAGACCCAGCCACGTTTCATCTTCAAAGCTTTCACTGATGGAAGGAGGTTTTGGCTCAGAATCTCACGATACATGGCCCCATTCATTCTGTCCTTAACACGGATCAGTCGTCCTGTCCCCTTAGCAGAAAAACTGCCCCAAAGCATGATGTTCCCACCCCCATGCTTCACAGTAGGTATGGTGTTCTTGGGATGCAACTCAGTATTCTTCTTCCTCCAAACACGATGAGTTGAGTTTATACCAAAAAGTTCTACTTTGGTTTCATCTGACCACATGACATTCTCCCAATCCTCTGCTGTATCATCCATGTGCTCTCTGGCAAACTTCAGACGGGCCTGGACATGCACTGGCTTCAGCAGCGGAACACGTCTGGCACTGCAGGATTTGATTCCCTGCCGTTGTAGAGTGTTACTGATGGTGACCTTTGTTACTGTGGTCCCAGCTCTCTGCAGGTCATTCACCAGGTCCCCCCATGTGGTTCTGGGATTCTTGCTCACCGTTCTCATGATCATTTTGACC